AATGCCACTTTTCTTACATGCACTATCCTGGTTTCCAGCAAGGATTCAGATTTTCCCCTTAAACTCATAGCTTTGTTCATTTCAGTCAGGTATTAAACATCTTATATTCGAGCCTCTTTGTTTTGTTTTGTTTTGTTTGAGTCAGGGTCTTACTCTGTCACTCAGGCTGGAGTGCAGTGACACAATCACGATGATCACAGTCATGATGATCAACCTCCTGGCTCGGGCCATCCTTCTACCTCAGCACCCTGAGTAGCTGGGACTACAGGTGTGCGCCACCACACCCAGCTAATTTTTTGATTTTCTTATAGAGACAAGGCCTTGCTATGTTGCTCAAGCTGGTCGCCAACTCGTGTGCTCAAGCAATCCGCCCACCTCAGTCTTCTAAAATGCTGGGATTATAGGCATGAACTACCAGGCCTGGCCTTCAAGCCTCTTAAAAGCGGGTAATGATAGCCTAGGTGTTCTTTCTGAGATGTGATTAGAAGGTATTATTGCTGTTCTGGAACTCTTGAACCAAGAGATGTTGCTACCAACTCACCCTTTATTACAAGAGTAATTGATTCGGGATCCAAACTGCATGTCTGTAACTTGTACCATGCCGTTCACAGGATCTGGAGGAGTTTTACATGATTTACCTATGTGAAAGAAACAGTATTTAGGAGCCAAGTAACATAATCTGACCTTTTTTCAGTACATAAGATCTGAACCTGCTTGTAGCTTACTGAAGAGTGTATATAGTTCTGATAATTCCATCAATTTTTTTCCACTCTGTGGAGACTCATGAGACTGCCTCAGGATCAATCACCAATTTACTAAGTTTCACTTTCAGAAAGACTTTCTCTCTCGAGTCTTATCTCCACTTTGTATTCCTTACCAAAATGTAAAAGCTGTTGGCCTTATAAACTACCTGTATATTTAAAAGTTTCCAAAGGATTTCTTCACATCTAATTATTCAAATGAGTGCATGTCTCCTTACAGAATTTTTTTCCTGGTCTAGAGTCATTCATTATTTGCTTTCCCATAGAAGGTGGAAATTTTCTCTGCAAATACTCCTTGAAACATTCTTAAGAAATGAGCATTTCAAGCAATAATCAGAGATGACCTACAACACCAACTTTTATATCCATCTATCTGAACACTTTGGAAAAAAGGTTTCTCATATACAAAATTTGAAAAACTTAAATACGATCCTACAGATGCTTTGGCAGACATGGAAAACTTTAATGCAGGATTACTCACGTTTACAGACATCTTTGGGACTTGACCAGACCAGGTTTTCTAGGCATTTGATAGAAAATAACCTCCAGTAGTACTCAGGACGGCATTCATACTTTAAAGATGTTCCAATGGGAAAGTCAGATGTATTGGTTGGAGTTTTCAACGTAGCAAATTCAAAATGATCTGGGGCCTTACAATGACCTGGAGACCTAGAAATTTCTAGAGACCAAGAAATAAAAACCATTTGAGTAATAAAAAGACATCCAACACTTTTTCTCTTTCTCTCTACCTTATTAGATTGGGTGCTAGAACAAAAGAAATTTTTAATTATGGAAAAAATAATTTCCTTGTAACTTTGGGAGAGAAAGGTCTGTTAGCATCCTTATCATCAGACAATAAATTATCTGGAAGGTTAGTCTGCTATCTGGTTTTCCTGCTCGTATAATTTAATGTAAAGTTAGCTCCTATTTAATTTTTAATATTTTTAGGGAGCTGGAAAGAGTGCCTCTGTCCAAGTTTCACCTTTCCTGTTTGGTTTCCTCATACTTAAGGCATCAACACTTCAATGGGGGACTCATGAGCATGGTTAGTGAACACAAGATGTTTCCTGGCATTGGGAAGCAGCCACCAATTTTCTAGGTCTGATTGCTAAGCTCAGCATTTCAATAAGGAAGAGAAAAGAAGCATCTTCTTAAAACAAGAACAAGCAACATGAAACAACAGTCCTCATTATAAGATAACATTACACAAAGTTTATTTTGAATCCATCTCTAGCTTTAGCTCCACATGCCTGTGGCCCACTAGTTCTAGGCTCAAGGGATAAAAACTCACTTTTAGTTCATATAAAATGAAATCAGAAAAATATATGCATACAAGCTTGGAAAAACAGGAATTGTTTCAACTTGGTTTTGGCAATACCTTCTCTCTTAGCTTGTATTTCAGCTGTTCTTCAGTCCCTTCCAAGTACCCATTCAAAGAATAAAGGTCATTCTTGAGCTAATTCTGCACCCAGAGAATTCTCTGGAGGAAGAGTTACAAACTGATTTCTCATCTCTCGACCATAGTTCAAAAATTTGTCTTGTATTCAAGGTAGCTTCATAGGAAATTTATCAATTCATGTTGTCTGTACATTTCAGTTTAAAGCTTGATATTAGCTCTACTAGCTTCAGGTTTAAGGAGTTAAAATCATGTCTTCAACCAACCATCTCAGCCCAAATCACACGAGACGTTGGGCTGGCAAGTCTCCAGACTAAAATCTAGCTGCTAGAACTAGGGCTGCAGTCTCTGAATAGGATTCTGATTTTAAAAAATAGTACTTAGAAGACTGCTTCTCTCTGTAGATTCAGTAAATCTGGATCAGGTGTTTGTCTTTATAAAAGGTTCATAGGTGCACCCCAAATGGAAGCCATAGTGTCAAAAGGGGGAATAAGGGCAGAAATGGCTTCTGTGTGACAGCACTTGTTTCCTTTCCTTTGCTATTATTATATCTATATCTATACCATCTATATATCTGTGTCTATATCTATCTCTCTCTCTATATATATATATTTGTATCTGTTGTGGAGTTTTCATCAGAGATATGCTGCAATCATAGAATGCTATGGTTGGTACTACTTAAAAAAACACTAAGTAGATGACAGTAGACATTAGGATGTTGAAGATGGGCTAAATGAAATGAGATTTCAATCAAAACTTCTTGCCAAAGTACAAAAGAAATTTTCCTATTCTGAAATCTTTCAGATACTTAAGTTTTCTGGTTAACAGAAACTTTATATCTTTAATGAAGTACCAAAACTTTTAAAGAAGAAAGATAGCAATTTTGGAGGGTAATGCATTCATTTAACCAGCATATGTTAATTGAGCACTTATTCTGTGTCAACCACTCATCAGGACCCTGGGGACATGGTGCTGTGGAGCACAAAAAAGTTCTTTCAAGGAGCTTATATTCTTGGAGAATATTTCTAAATTGTATGCATGTGTGTCAATCACCTTAAATAGTTAAAACCTTTTCTCGATTACTTATTGATATTGATCATCAATCCCAATTATGATAGTAGCACTGTCCCAGTGAATTGAAATGACACATGTCATTGTAACAAACTCTAAATGGATTCAGACTGCTTTACTTTTTTTTTTCACCTGTATTTCCAGCTACTTACAAGGCTGAGGTGAAATGTTTTACTTTTTCAAATTTCAGTGGCAGTGGTGGGATACTGCCAGGGTGGAGTAGGGGGCACAACATCAATAAGGGTACCTGATCTCGAACCAGGCAAAGTGGGACCAAAGAGAGGCCCAAACTTTACCTGTATGTTGTCCACTTGTATCCCTAATCCTGAATTGTACCCCACATCTATAAAATAAAATATAAAATATAAAAAATAAAATAAAATTTCTGGGTCTGTCGATGATTTATTTTTGCTCTTTACTTTCTGTCAGGCTTCTGATTGTTACTGTCTTCTACCTTCTGCTTATTCATTCAGAACAGTCCCCTCCTCACATTTTATTGGATTTTTAATTAGGAATAGAATATGTTACTTTTAATTTTTATTTTAGAGTTGTGGGATACATGCGAGAATTTGCTACACAAGGAAATTGTGCACAGGTGAGATTTGGGCTTCCAGCAAACCCTCTCTCCCCCGGTAGTGGACATGATTCCCAATAGGTGGTCGTGTGCCCCTTTGGAAGAGGCTACTTCAACTAGTAAGAGTTATGACAAATAAGAGAAAGCTTGGGTAATTCAAGCAATAACTGAGCTCTCATACACAACAGTTTAACAGACGTTTATCACGGTGCTACAAGGAGCATTGTACAGCAAAGATCTTTATAAAAGTTATGTTCTTGTAATGTTTTACTACAAAAAAACAAAACAAAACACCATAAGCTGTCCAAGTAGATTTTTAGCAACATAAACACTTTTGTATAGGTTGTTTAAAAAATGTTTTCCAATTTTTAGGATCAAGAAGTGAAGCAAAGATCTGTCTTCCATTGGGGAAAATATAAATGGGTAGACTAGGAGAAATCAGTAACGACTCTGAATGTATGAGACTCATTTTAAAAATCAGTTTATTATTTATGAATCAGCATAATTTATTTAGGTGCATGTTTTGAAAGCTTAAGGAGTCTCAAACTGCCTACCCTGTGTGATGGTACTCTACCTTTCCCCCATTCTTCATTGCTGTGATCTATTATCTCCATAGCATTTAATTAATTTATTTTTTCTTGTTCATCTTCTCACCTGAGTATGAACAACGTGGGTACAGGGAGTTAGCTCATCTTGTTCATTGCTATAACTCCAGTGCTTAGATGAACATCAGGCGTATAGTATAGCCTCAAAAAATAATTGACTGAACAAATGCATGTCTAATATTTATGCAAATCTAAACACAAATTATAGATCAACCACACCTTGATGGGAGAACAAAATGAAAAAGAAAGAAGAAAGGAAGGAAGGAGAAAGAGGGGGAAAGAAGGAAGGAAAAAACAGAAAGAAGGAAGAAAAAGATAGATAGATGATGGAAAGAAAAATAAATTTGTCAAAGCTTTATATTATGTAATCTGTCCTGACCTAGAGGAAAGCTACCATAGATTTATCACACTAGAATACAGATTCAAAACGACACAGGTGATGCACACACTGATTCAGAACAAAATATTCTTAAAATGAGTAATTTTCTATAAATAATTCAGACTAGAAAACAGAAGAACCACAAGAAGGGAGGCCACAGGTCAAAATATTAAATCAATGAAGAGGAGAGATTGGCCTCAGATGTTATTCTTACGTTCACACACAGGAACACTGCTATTCCAAAGGCTTTTCATTCCATCCAGGACACAATAACTAGCAGAGCTGCCTTTTAGTTGGAACCTAAAGAAGAAAATGCTAGTGAATAGGTGAGCTGTTTCAGACAAGAAGTCATTCAGTTCACAATCTGAGGCTTAGCCATATATGTCAGGATTTTGAGGATCTGGAACCAGCAGGTGGCAGGAGTGCCGAGGTTGAACCATTCTGGGAAAATCACAGCCTCCAGGAAAGGAGCAATACACAATGGTAAAGCCCAGCAACTTGTCACATGACAGTCCTGCTTGAATTGAAGAAGGTGGTCGTGGCGTAGCTGCCATCCCTTTGACCCTGATCCCAGACTCAGAATCTTGCTGATGATTCCATGAAAACCTGATAAATCACTCATTATTGGATGCCCAGTCTTTTAATACACCCTGCCAACTCTGACCCTGGAACCGTGAGTAAAACAACTTCCGCTTTGGATTGGAAAAGGGGAAAAACTGACAAGAGAACCAAGATTGTCCTTTTATCTCTACTATTGTGATGGCTGTGAAGAAGGTTCATAACAACAGGCTGGGCTACTGAAAAGTGTTAATTTTTCAGGAAAAGGAAAGGACACATGATTTTTGTATGCCACCATCCTAGATACTCAATGTATGTTGGACCTGGATGTCCTCCTAAATTTCACAGGGTGCCGATATTTGAAGCCTGCCATGAATTCTGTGGAACATTTTGAGATCATGAGCTTTTTTGCCCATGCTTAATAGTTTCCATGTAGAGATGCACACCTTGTGCAGAGCACTAGATTCACATAAACAAGTGAATGATCTTACCTGAGACACTAATGGCAGCCATCATGATCTTGTCTCAGAGCCCAGATCCCATTACTACCCGGATGATATATGATTGATTTTTAAAAATTCTTATTTTTTACACTTTCACTCCAATGACAAATTCCATTATTCATGACTTTGAAGATTTCCTGAAAAGATTCTTAAGTGATCTTAGCAATTTGTAATAATCATTTTGTGACATATAAAAATTTTTTCTAGGACTTTCCAAATTGCTTGTATTCCTTTCTACTTGAAAAATGTGGTTTTTTTTTTCATTTAATATGTTGCCTGTATATATTTATAACCAGTAGTTATACTTGCCTTTGAACTTATGTGATATATATCCCAGTTTCCCCTTATCTCATGTTATTAGTCTACATGTTCCTTTTCTTACGCCCTATATACATTTCCAAAAGTTACTTTCTAAATATATGTATATGCACATATATGAATATATATACATATATTTAGAATATATATAATTAATATATAGATATATATTTTAAAGCCACACCAAACCTTCCCTTTTTGGACTAATTCCTAACCCCAATTTCAATGTCCAGGTGCTCAGACAAGCTTATGCTCACCCTTCATCACAGACGAAAGACACCTTTGTTCCAAGCTGGAGATTAAGTGGAATTAGCACACGGCCATTAGGGAGTTGGTCCAGGAAGTCACTGCAGGATTTCACTGGAGAAAAAGAAAAACAAACAGAAATAACAGTGGCATGTGGAGAATAAAGACTCAAACTCAAATCGTCAAGCCAGATGAGAGTCTAGGCACCTGTACATCTGGGGACTGTAGGACTCCAGTCTCCCTGGGGTGTACAGCGCAGAGAAGCAGCTCCTGTGAGGTCATAGCCGGGCTCACAGCTGTAGAATACTTCCTGTCCAGGTGAAAATTTATCCTTGTCGCTTGAGGTATGTTTGCCACGCAGGATTTCTGGAGGTGGCTGACACACTGGGGAAAGAGAACTGAAATACTGTTAATTGTATGAAAGTAGCTTTTCCTCAATGGGAAACTAGCCAAGAGAATGATAATTGTAAGTTTATATGTAATAAAAAAGGTAGACTAATGCCTTTATTTTTGGACAACAAAATAGATACACATGGCAGGGGGCTGTATTGCCAAAAGTCACAGAACTGATACTTTGCAGAACTGTGACTAAAACTGAGGTAACCCCAATTCACTACTTTCCATCTAGAGCACACACCTAAAATTGCATGGCAGACAGTTTCTTCTAGAATGCCTCCAATTACTGTTCATTCAGTTCAAAATTGTTAGGATTCATACTTTTTTTTTTGAGTTGGAGTCTCACTCCGTCGCCCAGGCTGGAGTGCAGTGGCACACTCACGGCCACCCCAGCGTCAACCTGCTGGGCACTGGTGATCCTTCAGCCTCAGTCTTCCAAGTAGCCGGAAATACAGGCACGTACTACCATACACAGCTAATTTTTTTTTAATTTATTGTAGAGACAAGGTCTCACCAAGTTGCCCAAACTGGTCTCAAACCTGCAGGCTCAGGCAATCCACTCTCCTCAGCCTCCCAAAGTGCTGGGATTACAGGCTGAGCCACCAAGCCCAGTCAATTGGAGATTTATTTATTTATTTATTTTTGAGTTGGAGTCTCACTTTCTCATCCAGGCTGGAGTGCAGGGGCATGCTCATGGCCATCCCAGCGTCTGCCTGCTGGGCACTGGTGATCCTTCAGCCTCAGCTTTCCAAGTAGCTGGAACTACAGGCGCATGCTAACACGCCCAGCTAATTTTTTATTTATTGTAGAGATGAGGTCTTGCCAAGTTGCCTGGGCTGGTCTTGAGCCCACGGACTCTGGCAATCCACTTGCCTCTGTCTCCCAAAGTGCTGGGATTACAGGCTGAGCCACTGAGCCTGGCCTGGATTCATAGATTTTTATATCTTCACACTTCCTTTCTAGAAAGCATCACCAAATTATAGTTTCCCATTTTAGGCCATAAAGAGTGCCCATGCTGATATCTCATCTAAGAGATTTCTCCATCACCTGTCCTACTCTGGTACAACAAACAGGATTCATTCATCTATTCTCATCTCCTTTCAAATCCTCTCTCAGTGGGCACCTGACATGGAGTATGAGTCTCCTGTCAACACCCTATACAGCAAGGTGCTACTTAGTCGTTCATTCCAGTGAGAAGATGGGCAACCACTGAACACAATCTTCTAAAAACCCTGCAGTCATCATAATGTGAGTGCATCTTGCACACAGCATATTGAAATAGGTCTGTCTGTATCTTTATATAGTGGTTTGAACACAGGGAATCAGAACACATTTGGGTCTCAACTAAATCCTGTAAAACAGTTGTAAAACGAAAAAAAAATCAATTTAGCTTTGAGCAGATCAGTTCCCCGTTCTAAATTTCAATTTTTTAAAGTTAAAAAATGGGACATTGAACTAAAATAAGTGACTTCCTTAGGATCTTATAAATATTCTGATGCTCTAATATCCATTTTCAGGGCTTATCACCCCAGTGTTTTCTTTGATACTGAAGTGCTTTGCTAGTTGAATTTCTGTTGACCTCCAGCCTCACAACTCTACACTCTCCTTTGACTTCTCGGATCAGAAGCCTATACACCAATTAAAAGGCAGGATAATGAGAGAAGCCACTCTTCTTCTAAAGTGGCCCAGACAGTGGCAGTATTGGTGGCTGTTAGCTAGCAGCAGCAACTTAAATTCTAGCAATGCTAATGACTTTGACTCCAGCAGTATCAGCTACATTCTGGCAGCAGTGGTGGCTCCTGCATTTGCAGAGTACAAGGAGGTAGCTGCTCAATGGCAGGGGCTGGCCATTGCAACGTGAGTGCAGCTCTTTAATTTCTGGTAACACTGCCTTCCTCCTTTTGCTTTTAATGCCCTTACAACATCTTTGTAACCTATTGTCTGCAAGAAATCTGTCAATCCTTGAAATATCTAGAGTGGGTTTTGATTTCCTGACTGGATGCTGACTGGCAGAGCTAAGGCTCTGGAGTCAGGCACACTTTGGTTCTAGTCTTCAGTCTGCAAGATAGTAGCACAGGGAGTTATTTAATCTCTCTAAAACACATTTTCTCAGCAAAATATGGGAAGAATATGAGCTACCGCATAGCTTTGTTTTAGGGATTAACTGCATACATAGCCTGTATAATGGTACCTGACCAGAGGATCACTCATTACATATTATCAATTATTACACTCAAGGGCAATTAGTAGATCTGTTTATGAGAATCCCAAAGAAATATCACATTTCTTGCCCAAGTTTAGCTTTGCTTCTCAATTTGAGCACATGTGCATGTACACACACATATAAACACACACCTTCTTAATTTCATTTTCTCTCTTAGGAAAACATACTCACCCTCCCTGCTCATTACACATCCCTCCCTTAGAACAGACACCCATCATCTGACCTTCCAACAACCCATGTCAACTGCCCTTCAATGCCTCAGTTAGACTCACCCCTGGAGCAGCTTGGTAACTCTGGCTCCCATTTGTTCAGGGCCTGGCATCGCACCCTGGTGGGTCCTTTCATGACGAAGTCGGGCTGACACTTCAACTCCACAATTTCATTTAAGGAAAATAAGCTTCTGTTGTCAGATACCATGATTCCATTTTCGACCTCTGGAGGCATGCATTTATTAGGTATAATACACTGAGGGAGAGGGCCACTCCAGATGCCAACTTGATCATCATTGCTGGTGCAATATATCGAGGGCTCACCCACAAGCTCAAACTTTCTCCCTCTGTTTCCAGGATTGCAGCGATAGGTCACCACTGTACTATATGGAAAATACTCTCTGTTGATGCTAAAGAAATCTCCGTTGGCGATGGTTGGGGGTAGCCCACAAGAAATAACTGGAAAAAGTGAGAGCAGATTAAATAACAATGAATTTAAATAATGAGTGAGAAAAATCTAACGAGTCACTAAATTGTAACTAGTTTTACATTCATTTTTTGCTTTTAGTCTTTGGCAATGTGTAAGTTTTTACAAAGTTGTAATTTAGGAGGGCATAATGTGTTTTGCCTTTCCTACTTATATTATTTCTTGCAAACATATGCATTTATTAATATAATCCACATTCTTTTCACTTTAAACAGCTCTTGGATCATATTTTTATAGCATTTATACAGTTTTCTCCTATTCTTTTTCACTTTCTTTCTTTCTTTCTTTTTTTTTTTTTTTTGAGTTGGAGTCTCGCTCTGTCGCCCAGACTGGAGTGCAGTGGCCGCTCCCGGCCACCGCAGCCTCGACCTGCTGGGCTCCAGCGATCCTTCCGCCTCAGCCTTCCAAGTAGCCGGAATTACAGGCATGTGCTACCACGCCTGGCTAATTTTTTTTAATTTATTGTAGAGATGAGTTCTCGTCAAGTTGCCCAGGTGGGTCTCGAACTCACAGGCTCAGGCAATCCACTCACCTCAGCCTCCCAAAGGCGCAGGATTACAGGCTGAGCCACCAAGCCCGGCTTCACTTGCTTCCTTAATTTCCATTTTTATTATTAAATGAGTATAGCTTTTTAAAAAAACTAAAAGTCTTTGCTAAAAGAAAAAAAGTGTAAGGGAAAAGAGAAAACACAAACGGAGGGGGAAATAGAATTTGAATGTATTTGCATATAAATGATGTTTATAAAACTGTAGACTATTGTATGTTAAACATTTTGGAAATCAAAATAATATAAATAGACATATAAATTACCAATATTCATTCAAGAAGATGAGAAAACTAGAATGGATCAAGGAACATATAGGAATTAAAAAAAAATCAGAGATAAGTTCTATCAAACTTTCAAGGAACATAAACTTCCAAATGTAATTTCAAATGTTTCAAAACATGTAAAAGGTAGAAAACTTACCAACTTATTTCATTAAATCTGTTTGATATGATAACATGATTCTATGTAAAAGTAGTCATATATTAGTCCACAAAAGTCCTTAAATATATTTGAAAACGTAGAAGTAGCACATAGTATATTGTATTATTGTAAACGTAGAGGTAGCACATAGTATATTGTATTATTGTATTATTGTAAACCAGATTAAAAAAGTCATACAAACCCAAGAATACAAATTTGAAGAAAATCCTATTATTGAATTACTTCAACCAAAACCTCTAAACACTTGAAATTAAGAATGAAAATTCTTAAGGAAGTTTTTGCTTCTAGTAATGGTAATCTCAGTAATTCAGATCAAATATTGCTCTACCCCTCAACGTTGATCCAAGAAAGGCTAGAAATGCTGGAAAATTTTGAAAAATATCTATGAGGGCATCAGAGGGGTGACAAACCAGTGAAGCATTACTGGGCCATAATTTGACAGAAGATGAACATCTAAGTGAGAGTTGGGCATGTAGGCTGCTTTTCCCTTGGGAATGGGGAACTGAATGAGGAAGGGCAACTGAGAGGCTGAGCAGACTTGACAGTATCATAAAGTCAACGGACAAAATTTGAATCCAGGACCTGCCCCAACTGGAAACCCTGGTAATACCTTCTGATGTATTCTGAGGCCACAGAGGCCTAGGTCCTGGCAATCAAGGTTAATTTAAAGTAAATCTGTTGTCTCAAAGACTGGAGATAGTCATCAAAAACTGTAGGAGACCCAGGAAAATCATAGTTCCCAAGATTGAATTAAAATGGTCCCAGATTGCTAGTGTTCTCAGGAGCCTAGCAGAAATAACAACAAAAATTATCTCTAGAAGACAGATCATCTCAGACCTTGACATTATCTCTGTAAACAAGTTTTCAAATATAATTTCTGATACACAATCAAAGATAATAAGGTATTTGAAGAAATGAAAAATGTACACAATTACTGATGTTAGTAAATGAACCATTAGGACTACAGATATTAGAATTTTTCACTTACAGATGTAAAACAACCATGGTTACCTGTCCAAGGATATAATACACAAAACCAAAACTTTTGGTAGGAATTAGAAACTATTAAAAAGAACAGGGAAATTTTGGAAAGGAACCAAGTAAAAATTCTAGAATTGTAAAGAGCAATTACTGAAATTAAGAATTTGGATATGATTAACAGCAGATTAGGCACTTCGAAGAAAAACCAGTTAACTAGAAACTAAGAAGAAAATACTCAGAACAAAGCATAACAAGATAAAAGGATTAACAAATACAAGCAAAAGAATAAAAGATCTGTAGGGTAAAAGGATAAAGCCTAGCATGTGTAAGTGGCGTCCCACAATGAAAAGAAAGGGATAGCAGAGTATAACAACACCTGAAGAAGTAACGACTGAGAGTTTTCCAAGACTGATAAAAAACAGAATCAAATCACAGATTCAAAAAGTCATACAAACCCAAGAATACAAATATGAAGAAAATCCTACCTAGACCCTAAATTTATTGGGGACTAGGCTGTTACCCAAGCAGGTTTCCCATGGGGAGTTCTAATTGACAAGTTTAAAGAGAGCATGTACAAGTCCCAGGAATTCACACTGTGACTGAGAGGAGGTCACTATGGCATATTTGTGAAGTCCATGCAGGGCATAGAGGCAGTGAAGCCAGTCAAGTAGGATGTATCTAGGAAGTGGTCACCAGGAAGCATAAGGTAGATACCTGGATTGATCACACTGAAAAACTGAAGGAGGTGTAAAAACAGAAAGTGTGTATCAAGGGTGGCTAAGCCTGTTTTTGGTATGAGAAAGTTCAACATATTCAAAATAGATGCCAAGGCAACATAAAGTTCACAACAGGGTGAATATAAATAGTGTTTTTATAAGAACAACAGCAACATTGTCTTTGAAATGTAAAATATATGTAAAAGTATGACAACAATAGGAAAAGGGCCGAAGGGCATAAATGAAGTAAACCATGTGTTTGCATTTTTGAAAGAGGTAAAAAGTACAATTTAAGTTAGACTGTAGTAAATTCAGGATGTATATTGTCGTCTCTAGGGTAATCTTTTTTTTTTTTTTTTTTTGAGTTGGAGTCTTGCTCTGTTGCCTAGACTGGAGTGCAGTGGCCGCTTCCGGCCACCACAGCCTCGACCTGCTGGGCTCCGGCGATCCTTCCGCCTCAGCCTTCCAAGTAGCCGGAATTACAGGCATGCGCTCCCACGTCCAGCTGATTTTTTGATTTATTGTAGATGAGGTCTTGCTGCCCAGGCAGGTCTCGAACCCACGGGCTCAGGCAACCCACTCACCTCAGCCTCCCAAAGGCGCGGGATTACAGGCTGAGCCACCGAGCCCAGCTAAGGGTAATCATTTAAAGAATAAAAAAAAAGTGTGACTATAAGCTGTTGAGTAGAAACAGTGAAATAAAAAAATTAATTTCAAAGTGTAAGAAATAAAGGAAAATATGAAATAAACAGAAAATAAATAACCAGGCGTGTTAGACTTAAGCTCAACGATATCAGTAACCATATCAAATTTAAATGTTCTAAACAACTCCAGTTAAAAATAAAGATTTTCAGACAGAATAAAACAAAGAAAACTTAGTATAATGATGTTACAAGAGACAAGCTTTAAATATAGAACAAAGAATGGGTGAAAGTAAAAGATTTGAAACATATATATTATGTGCATAATAATACAAAAAAGAACAAAGAATAAAGCTGTTGTAGCTGTATTACTGTCATACCAAGTAGATTTGGCACAAGAAGTATTATGAAAAGTAAAAAGAGAAATTTCATATGATCAGCAGGAGGATATAATAAACCAAAATTTTAATGCATGTGATAACATGTCTAAAGTACATCAAATAAAAATTGCTAGGATGAAGAGGAAAGACAGATGAACCCACAGTCATAGCTGGGGATTGTAATAGGTTTAATAATGACTACCTCCCTCAAAAGACACCATGTCTTAACCTCTGGAACCTGTGAATATGACCTTATTTGGAAAACTGGTCTTTGTAGATATAATCAAGTTTAAGATCTTGAGGTGAGATAATCCTGGATTACCAGGGTGTACTCTAAACCCAATGTCCAGTGTCTCTATAAGAGAGAGAAGAGGAAACACAGCGAAGAAGGCAATGTGAATATGGAGGCAGAGATTGGAATGATGCGTCCACAAGTCAAGGAATGTCAAGGATTTCCAGCCACCATCCGACATTGGAAGCTAGGAGAGAGGCATTGAGTAGCTTCTAACAGGAACCAAACCTACTGGCATCTTAACTTTGGATTGCTGGCCTGCAAACTGCGAGAGAATACACTTCTCTTGTTTTAAGCCACAGCATTTATGGTAATTTGCTACAGCAGCTCTAGGAAACTAATACTAATATTTTACACATGTCTCTCAATAACTGAGAGAACAAATGGAGGAAAAAGAAAAACTATCTAAATCACATTTTCCTAAATAGCATTTATAGAAAAGGACATAAAATAACTACACATTCTTTTCAAGGATATACATAACATTTTATCAAAATTATTCATATTCTGGACCATAAAGAATGATAAACCATAAAGAATGATAAACCATAAATAAGATTCTGAGGATTAAAGCAATAAAAAAATAATAACTAGAAAATCTCCAAATGTTTGGAAACTTAGCAACACACTTCTAAATACCCAATGAACCAAGGAAGATGTCAAAAGGGAAATTAGGAAGCTTTTATGTATAATGATAATGAAAGTATAAGGATGGTGGGAAGTAACTAAAGCAGTTTCATAAACAAATGTATAGGTTTAAATATAAGAAAAAAGTAAGAAATTACAACAAATTATGTGTGCTTCAATATAAAGAATTTAGCAGTACAGCAGTATACAAAACTTGAAAGTTAAAGAAAGAAAATAATAAAGCAGAAAATAACATAAAGACAATCAATAAAGCTAAAAGTTGGCTTTTTGAAAAGCTTAATAAAACTGATAAGTCCCAAGTAAAACTAACCAAGGGGAAAAAAGCA